TCTTCGACATACGAGGCGAGGCCTTGTACCCAGCAGTTGTAGACCACACAGAGAAAAAAAACCAAAAAAGGGAAAAAAATAAAAAAAATAGAAGAAAAAAAAAAAAAAAAAAAAAAAACAGAACTAAGGGACACAAAGGAAGGAAGGAAAATACGAGCAACTCACAGCACTGACCGCCTTTGTGAGCACCGCCTTAGTGAGCAGGTGTGTGTGTCGAGCGAGCGAGAGAGAGAGAGAGAGAGAGAGAGAGAGAGAGAGAGAGAGAGAGAGAGAGAGAGAGAGAGAGAGAGAGAGAGAGAAGCAAGTATCAGCCTTCGCAGGTCTTCCAGGTTCATGAGTTTTTGTTCCAAGGTCGCATAGGCAGGAGGAGAGGAAAATGGAAACAGAATAGTATATCACACAAGACTTCTCTTATATTTATACAACTTGAGTCTTTTAGGCAAACTGACCTGAAAACCTCCCCTACACAGCCCATCAGAGCTTCCTGCAATTCTTTGCAGGAATTCCCTTTGCCACACATGCTGACCCCATCCATCCATCCATCCATCGCCTCGACCATCCATAGTAAGAACCTTTTCCTCCGTGCAAAGACGCTTCTTCCATCTCATTACACAATCAATGCCACATCAAAAATGCATTATTCGCATTTATCCCCAAAATTCCGTTCAGCACAGCGTTTCCAGCCCTTAATCCCCCTCTGTCATCATCACGGAACAAAGCAACAATCTCCCCCTCCTGAACTGTTCCTAGTTTGTACCAGTTCCAGTTCATAGTTTGTACCAGTTCCGGTTCGGGTTCATGGTTTGTACCAGTTCCACTTGGTGGTTCAGTTTGTACCAGTTCCACTTGGTAGTTTAGTTTGTACCAGTTCCACTTGGTAGTTTAGTTTGTACCAGTTCCACTTGGTAGTTTGTACCAGTTCCGGTTGTACCAGTTCCACTTGGTAGTTTAGTTTGTACCAGTTCCACTTGGTAGTTTGTACCAGTTCCGGTTTGTAGTTTGGACCAGTTCCGGTTTGTAGTTTGTACCAGTTCCGGTTCGGGTTTGTAGTTTGTACCAGTTCCACTTCGTAGTCTGCACCAGTTCCACTTGGTAGTTTGTACCAGTTCCAGTTCGCTGTCTGTACCACTTCCACTTGGAAGTTTGTACCAGTTCCCGCCCAGAGCAATGTGTCTCAGGGCTGCCATCGCCGATGATGAGCTTTCCGGTTCTTCATAGTTTGTTCCAGCAGATCGCCCTCCGTCACCGTCATAGAACAAAGCATATAAGTTCATCATCGGAAAAAGGCAATAAGTTCATTCCCCCTCCTGACGCCACGGGAAAATTGCCGATCCGCCCTCTCCCCCTGTTCTTCCTGTCTATGCCTTTGGAGCCAAGACCGGCACGGCATGCAACCTGCGCGAAGACCCATGCTAGCGTTTCTCCATTTCTTCTCCCGACCTCACTTTTTGACGAGGAGTTGTGCAACGAGCCGGAACACGCTAAGCTTGATTTTTTTTCAATGAAGGCAACATATGCACAATTTCGAGTGAAAATCCATGTAGCAGTAAGAGATTCCATGCTTTGTGACACTGAAGGGGAGCGGGTTTGATCCTTTGACCTCCCACATCGGTGCGGAATCGCACCCCAGTCTCCCGCAAGCGCCGGAGGAACACGATCACACAATCGCCATAGTCTTCTTCCAAATTTTAAACCCCCGGTACCTCAAATGACCTCAAACGACCTCAAATGTTCTCAACGATCTGTATAATTCGATATGGGACGCTGGGC